TATAATATATAACAAAATTTTCCATGAATTTGGTGTTAAGGGAACCTTTAATGAATAAAAGCATGGAACATCATGTTCTATTCTGTATCCAGCACGTCTCACACCACGTTGTGTAGCTGCATTTAAAAGCAAATTAACTCATTTTGTTGAATAGAAAATACATCAACACTTTCATATTACATTATAACAATCTCAAGGACAAATAAAAACCATCTATAGTGTTATGACTAGTGAAAACCCTCAGTTACATAAGGAATTGGGTTTGTAGTATATTTCTATAGTTATCTATATTGACTCAGATTAAGTTGATATCTGTCCTGACAACGACGATGTTGTCTCTATCTTGTTGTCAAATGGTGATGTACACACACATACACACACAGACACACACATACACAGGATTCACCTACTTTGACCCCTTAAATACCAACCTCTGAGGTCATCAAACCACACTCTGACTAACTCTTTGAAAAAAGCGCTTCACACTAACGACCACTAGATATGATTGTGCTCTTGTCATGTTGGGAAAGACTCAGCGGTGAATATCTGAATCTTGATCTCTGGTTTGTACAACACACGGGTGCCTGAATGGAGGCTGCACAATGCGGCATTGTGAAGGCAGCGACAGGCCTCATTAGCTGCACCACATCCTGGTTATCTGATCTCCACGCACAGTCTGACTTGAACCAATGCTCGTAACTTATGACTCACCTCAAGATCAGAGGCTGGAGTGTCAGACTACCTGCCAAATCCACATATCCTGACACAATGACACCAAGGATGTGCTAACATATGAAACTGGAGACCCACATCTGATATTGGAGCTGTTCTGGTCAGTGTTAGTCAACAGTGAGGCTCTGGAAGTGATGAGATTTGCTGTTATTATCGTGTTAAATCAGGATAAGGAATTTAATAAGGGAACCTTGTAGGTACTCTGAGGTCATACAGAGTTGAGAAAGTGATTTGAGATCGTATTGACACGTTTTAAAAGAATAACTATTTGTTCTTTGTATTTGAGTTTCTCTGTGCAAAATAATTTAGTATTCTTTCTAAGTTTACACACATCCTTCATCTGCTTACTAAAAAGACATGTGTCCTGCAGCTGGCTCGATTCACTGTCTTGTTAAGTGAAACTGTCCTTTTAGGTTCACTGAGATCAAGCAGCAACTATGGAGAACTCTTTCTCGAGTGATAGGACCTGCACGTATGTTAATTATGCTGCAGTCCTTTTTCGGGTGTTTTTAGGTCAACATTTTGTCTGTATTTCCTGAATCTAGCATCTTTGCCAGCTCTTGAGAAAGCTATTCATTTGTTTAACCATGAATACTTATTAAAAGGTCTTTAAAACAAAGCATTTCATTTTCCGAAGTCTTCTCCAAATGGAGCTGCTTGAAAATATATTTTAAGAGTTTATCGATTTCTTTTATGGGACTAAACCTACAGTACACTCTTATGATGCCTCTTTGAACAATGATGCAGTAGTTAAATCTCTCATAGTTTAAAAGCTGAGTAACCTCTGTATTCATCTGTTAATCAGAAATCTCTATCAAAACGTTTGCTTCATTTAATCACCAGAATCACTATTGGCCTCCCTCCTTTGCTGATTAACTTAAGCTTCTTTTAGTTTATTAGGGCCAGAACGATAACAGTGCGGAGACCCTATTGGAATTGCTTTGATTATTACATATAAAGTTGAAGAAACAACTTGAGTTTGAAGTCCTTTCATCCAATCAGAAGTGAAATCTCGGATCTCGAGGGGTTCAGCGGTGGGTTTACAAGCAAAGAAGAATAGTTAACTTAAGGTCACAAAAATACCATATTTTCTTTAAAACTGATTCTCTATCAGAACAACCTTCAAATCCTTTGTACAACCCCGGCTTGGTTTTCCCCGAACAGCGTTGCACAAAATTCAACACCCAGAGAAGTAAAAAAAAAAAGAAAAAGATAAAGCACCCCAAGGCAGAGAAACACATGAAAAAGTCAAGGACATATCACAGTCTTCATGACATGAATTTTATTTTCTTTTTTTAATTACATTTTGCATTAAATTAAAGAGTTTTTTGTCTTTACAACATACATTAAGCTGTGAATCAGATGTTAAGGAAGTGGAGAGAGTAGGGCAAAAAACTTTGTGACATCACAATATCTTACAAGCTTACAAAGTTCAAAAGGTTGAGAAGTCGAGAAGAGAGTCGATTTGCATTTAATCGCAGTGTATCATAACGAGGGTGAAAGACGAAAAAAGGCACACACCAAAGAACCTCACTGTCCACAGCAGCCTTCACAGTCAAACCCAATCCCGTCGTATAAAACGGCCAAACTGTACTCTGACATCAAAATGCTTTTAGAATCTGAAATGCACCCACAGCTACGTAAACTCACTCCTCTGCACAGGGTGTGGACGTTTAAACCTTTTAACACCGGACAGATTTTCTTGCTCACAATTTATGCAGACGTGAAGATTCTCCAAGGCGAGAAGTCGACACAACTGAACTTTTCTGGACAAGAAATATTTAGCTGTAGATCAGCATTATTTCAGGCCTGGGAAAGTTGCTGGTTTATGCACGCCTCAGTACTCCGGAGGGTGTAAATATGGTCTCATAGTGCCCAGTTACCAGTCGACAACGCAGTGGTATTCTAAAAATCTGAAGTAAACACGCCCCTTCATACTAATCCTGGGTCATTTGCACTCATAACATAGCTTGAAGTTATGACGGCTATAACTGTCTCAATTGACCCTGGGTTTCTAAAGGGGCATTTATCTACACATACTGAATGTTAGTCAGGTCACATGTCTTTTTTCACATTAGCTGTGGATTGAGACATAGTTGGCTTTCTTCCGTTGAGAAACAGAAAATTGCTTGATATCAAGAAAACTTTTGCTTATCTACACATACACGACTAAAGGGGTGCTCCATTGATTTAGGTGTGGGGGGGTGAGCAATAAAAATGCTCAAGTAAAGGACGCAAAAGGAAAATAAAGGTCGGATTAGTTGAACTCTCAGCCGTTCTTGAGGCCTTGATAATGAGAGTTAGTGAAGCAAAAAATAAAAACATATCTAATTTTCTCAAACTGTGTTTTGTCTTTTAAAAAAGGGGGTTAAATTAGGTACATTTTTAACAATATTGTTTTTAAAATGTCAACTTTCTTCACAGGAACCAGCCTGCTTATGCAACTGTCTAACAAATAAGTGTTACGATGCACACGAGAAGCCAAAAACTGTGTTAGTATCTCATCCTGTACGTCCGCTATCATGTTGTCGTTGCATTATTATTGCAGTGCGCTAGAAAGATACACGTACATTTGCCTTCTCAAGTAACAAATGTTAATTGAGTTAATCAGTCAATTAACCGTCAGTCCAAACAAAGAGACAGCAGAAAAAAAGTAAAAACAAATACCAGGACTCTTAAATTGTATAAAATAGAAAATCAAAAAACACTCACGACGTCATCATCAACACTGCCAGCACAACATAAAGGTTTTTTTTTAAGCGCATTAATGGCACAATCAGAAATGAACCACAAAGATGAGTGTGTATGCATGAGTGTGTATTTGCATGTGCGTGTGTTTGAGTGTGTGTGTCAGAGAGGAAGAGTGAAAGAAGAAAGCAAATCCTCCCTTCGCTCCGCCCTCTGAACTGTACGTGTGTTATGTCTAGGGACCAGAATTACAACAATAACACCTACATTCTTTAATTGCATTTTTATCAAACCAGAGAAATATCATGACGTAAGAAAAATAAAAAATACTACAAGGAGACAAAGTTAACAGCTAGTAAAGAAAGACATTGTCACTACTTTAGGGTGTAAGGCACAAATTTACATGTGGAAAAAGAAGCAGGCAATACAGATGTTTTTATACTTTCCTTTTTCGCCTGCTCGTGTGTGACACTGGTAGACAAGACGATAACGTTCCAAGACGGAGGCAGCACTCCGTTCACTTGCAGCTTCTTTTCTTATGTGTGTATGCAGATCCCGTACTGTTGCTGCAGCTGTTATTTTATATTTGCAACATGCAACAGTGAGCTTTAAGCCAGAAACCAATCAGGACAAACGTTACCGACTCACACAAAAACCACAGTGCTGATTGAGGGGGGTTGCTCATTGGAGGAGTGACATGGTGAGATTCAGGAAGTTGTTGTTTTTTTTCTTATGATTGGTCTAAAACAATGGAAACTCTGGTCCATGAAGCTAAATGTCCCTGTCTGGCACTGTTTAAATAAATATATCCTCCTCTTCACATATATCTCAAGCTGCAGGTCCCACTGAGCACTCAGTAAGACCTAGTGGACCTTTAGTCATCAAGAAAGTTCTACTGGCTCCAGTTTAATGACTTTAAATAACGTTTTTTTTTGTCACACTTGATTAATTATTATTAAAAGATCTCTCCTCTGTCCCATCTCTCTCCGAGCCTCGAAAGTCAGTCTTGTTTTTTCAAAAGCACTTAATAAAAATAAATACAACAAGCTATTAGTATTAACAGTCATGTGTTATTCAGTAACCAGTACAGTAGAGGATTCTTCTGGCCCAGGCTTTCTGTCTAACCCAGGCAGGACTTGATGGCTGTAACACTGAGAGGCTTTTCACAGTTTGCGACAGAACTCAGGCAGCTGTCTGTCCTTCAGTCCCTCTGAGTGCCTGCTCACTCAGATTCCCCCAGTCCTCAAGGTACTGTACAACGATTATTCTCCCATCTCCCCGCGCTGTCTTCTTATGTGCTTTTACCAGCATGATGAAGCGTCGTGTCGCGTCCCTACGGCCAAAGACACCACAAAAAAGAGAACCACAAGTCTTGGATGCTACAGGGTGCCGTTGGATGAAATATTCAGGACGAACATCATCTTCTGTTTCAGTAGCACATGTTCCCATATGTGTTAACAGAGGAACTGGGAGCCAGCCAGAGCATGAGCTCTGTGACGGCAACAAATGACGACAACCATTTGTATAATATTTACATATTTATATAAAAAGAAAGTCTTTCTTAAAAAAAAGAACAAAAAGGTGTTGTATATTTCACTATACACCAAAAACAAAAAAATCACTAAAAGGAGATGCAAGTTGTACAGTATTCCCTGTTTTTTTCTCTCTCAGAAAAACCTTTTATCTACTGTTTGTTCACATTGGACTGACTGGTGAAGCTGACTATGTGCAGGAGTCACTGGACTTGACTTTTGTTGAGAGAGAGACTACAGAGGGTTTGGGAGGGACATCAGGCTTGAGATATTTGATGCCCGTTCGAGGCAGTGAACCATAGGAGCTCATTCCAGGCTGCCGTGACAGAGATATTCCCTGTGCTGTCATTTGTATGGAGTCCACCCTCTGAGGTGCAGGCGGCGGAGTCTCCACACGGTTGAAGCTGTGATGTCTCGCCAAATGGGAGGAGTTAGAGGAGTTGGTGTTGTGCTTCTTGAGGGCGGAGGACCCGGAAGCAGCAGACGCTGATCCTTTTCGGAGACCGTAGACTGACGAGTGGACCTCCAGACGTTTGCCCATCTGTGGGACGGCTGGGGGGATGGTGAGAGAAGCCTCTCTTTGGGGCACGCGAGGCGGCAGCCCCCCATCTGGATCCACCATGTTGAGGTTGTGACATGGGCTCTTCACTGTCTTGTACTCCAGGGTGGCCCCCTGGTCATCCATGACACTGTGGCCCATGCTCATGTCACTGTGGTGTGGCTGCTCCACATATTCGTGCTGGTAGGAGTGCTGGTGTGGCTGCAGATGAGGCTGGAGCTGGTGCTGATGCTGTGGCAGAGGCAGGACCACCACACTGGGGATGTGACCTGGTGACGCCCTCAGAGGCAGGTCTGTAGATATAACTGGGGAGCCCATATGTGGCATGTCCTTGGTGCAGGCGTTAATGAGGTTCTGGTTTCTTTCCCACTCACGGCTGCCACGACTGGGCTTACGACGTGGCTGCATGGGGGTGGATTCAGGCGTTGGTAGAGCAGCTAGGTCCAGGTGGTGCTGGTCCGCTTTTATCAGCATCTTCCCATTTGGTGTCATTCTCCCGTTGTGCATCAAAGGGGTGAGGATCGCCTCAGGGCGGCCATCTTTGGCCTGGGTCTCAAACAGGCCCGTCAGCTTAGTCACACTGTTCATTGATCCCCTGCGGGAGTGGAGGTGGTGGCTGTCCTTTTCCTTGCGGCCTGTTAGGTCCATGTCTCGCCGCCTGTGGTCGCAGACACAGTAGACAATGATGCCAGAGAAGATGGCACCCATGGCAAATGCTAGGATGACAGCAATGGCCAACAAGGTCACTGGAACCAGCTGGTCACGACCCTTCTGGTAGCTCTCACGGATCACACCTGCAGAGAAACGGTGAGATGACATTCAGACTGGCAGAAGAGAGAGAGAGATGATACCGATACTGGTGTTTGTTTTAGAAGCTTGATTCTAAGAAAATAGAGCTGTCGGGAAAGATGCTTATAAAAAGACAAGGTAAAATTAAATTACAATTATTCAAACATTTTCTGGGTAAAGAGATTAGCATTTAAAATGATTCCATGACAAACATGCAAATGAAGAAGGGTTTATCCGTTCATAAGAGACACCTATTCAGAAAAGGCACAAATGGCAGCTTGAAGTAGCAACATTCAGTATTTCCCAAAAATCCAATCCTAGACTGAAAATGTGTTTTGGACAGATGATTATGATTCACATTTTAAATCCCAGATAAAACCCTCTGCTGAAATGAAAAAAGATATGAGCGCAGATAAAGGAGCCTGAAATACCCGAACCCTTTCTTCTTATTGATGCAAATGGGGGACTTTTCATAAGGCTTGGATCCAATCTCATGAGTCACAGAGAATACATTAAAAAGCCTCTGATTAGGCGCTAAATCCAATGAGCTCTGTCATCAGTGTTCGCCATTTTCAAAGACTGGCAAAGAACCAAAGCAATACAGCCAAATAAAAGATAATTCAATAAAGGCAGCTATGAAGTATTTGAGTGGTGGTGGAGTGGGTGCAGCAGGTTGTCTTTAGTAAAATGGGGTCAACAATAATCTGCACGCACATAAACACACACACACACTAACACACACACAGATGGTCGTCTCCAGCCTGTTGATGAATGAAGACATCTAATGCAACACTTTGGTCCTTGGGTTAAACACCCCCGTCCACGGCACAGAGATTTACAATGCGCTCACTCACGACCTATGGCCAACACAGATCAGTTACTGCAGAGGATCAGACAGGTGGGCTCCATCATGTAAAAAGCTCCCACAGTGCACCGCTGGTCTTGATAACGTGACTCAGTTTACACGTGTGTGCTGCGATCCTCTTGTTGTATCACTGTTTTACAGTAGGTAGATGCTTTAAAATAAGCACAGTGTTTTTCAGATTTTAAAAACCAAAGACATTTTTATTGACTAGGAATTTGCATAAAAGTAAAAAGGCTAAACAATAAGTAAAAAAGTCTGTAATGGTCTTGTCTTGACTGTCTTATTTTCATTTTCATTCATTTTTTTATTGTTCATTATTTCTTGTTGTTTTGCAGGATTTTACAAAAAGTAGAAATATAATATGAATGAGCTGCAAATATAAAACTGCAAATATAAAACAATTGTCAACAGGCAGATTAGTGCCGTTTCCACAAATTACTTTTCTTGCAGTTCATTTTCCAAATGAAGACGCCACAAAATGTTAGTTGCAATAATTCTGTAAAATCCTGAAGGGGGTCGTGTAATCGTGTTTAGGTTTTTTGGCTTGGCTGTGTCACCGAGGACATTCCTCGGAAAACATCTTTTCTCTTTGTCTACTTACCGAGACATAACACAGACAAGAATCAGCATGGTAATCAGTTCTCATGGAACTAAAACCAGACTCTTTTCAACTAACATCCATAATCCTCGCTGTAGCTGCAGTCATACATCATTAGTCCAAAAACACAACTTAAAACTATTTTTCCCAGCTGCAATAAAGCACGGAGCAATACCTCTGCATCATCGTTAATGCTTAAAAGAAAAGAAAAACTCAGGACGTAACCTCTGTTCTGATCATTTCTTATTTATAGTATAAAATAAGAACTTCATTTCTCTCTTTAACAAAGTGCTGAATACACACAGCTCAGCCATTCCTCATTTAGACTTAAACAAAAGGCTTAAAAAGTTCTTCTCTGGCCAAAATCACTTCTTATCAAGGACGTTCCCAGCTGTGGAGATAGTGTGAGAGGCGACGAGTGTTATCTGCAGCGAGGCATTAAGATTTGACGTGTGTTATGCCGTGACCGATCGGCTCACCTGTCCGATGAAACATCTGCTTCCCATCTCCTACAGTTACATGTTAATGTGAGAGATACTTCAACTTGCTGCTATCTTTCACTTTGTTGACTTTTTCTGTCCTCACTTTTTTCTCACATCGTTTTTCTCCCACTTTCTGCTACTTCTCTCCTTCACAGAAACACTGAATCACTTTTCTCTTTTCCCTTGTTTCAGTGTATTTTTTTCAATCTGTTCTTCCATGTTGGAAACTGGGAAAGCTAATTATAATTGTAATTATAACCTCATGCAAGTTGCGTGTTATCTTCCTTGGTGCTGGGTGAAATATGTCTCTAAACACTGAAGAAAAGGTAGAGGAATTCAGCTTCACTTGAGGTGAGGTAATCATGATTCTGATCTTGCAATGTTAAAGAAAGTGAAAAAAAATAAATCGTGTTTCTTCCCTGACCCATACCGCATTCCTCGACCAAGTTTCCTGGACGGAGACAAATGTAAGTGCAAACATAAACAAGCACTTGCTAATCTCTCTGTTATTTATTAGGTTTGATATAAATTCATCCATCTCTGTCTATGTTAAAAGAGCAAGACAAATCTGAAATGGGTTTTAATAACAGTGCATTAATGGCTAATGAAAGGTGAACTTTATTTCAGTGAAGATTTGGGTTTCACATTGAACAACAAAGCTGGAGGGCAGCCGAGCCAAATGGGTTGTCCCTTCTGGTGAAGGAGGCGATCTGCAGGGCTGGATCTTTGTATTCTACTGTGGGTGAGGGAGCCGGGGTTAAAGCCCTATTTAACCTGCTCTGCATGGCTCTTCCTGTCGGTGTCTTTTTTAAAGAAATTCTTTCATTCTTTTTTTTCCCACTCTTTCTCTGCTTCCATCCATCACTGCTGTCTCTTGTACTCACACACACTTCCAGAGGGTACTTAGCCCAAGGCCATGGGTAAAACACAAAGAAAGAAAAAGAGGGAACTTTGAAGACTTCCATCTTTCATGTGAGGAATTGTTCTTCATCCTAACATGAAAGAGGATAAAAGTAGCCACAGAGGACACCGGAGCTGTCTCTGTCGAAACACAGGACTTCAGGGTTTTGAATCAAGGTGGCAATATGGCTGTTTCTTACAGACCTGTCTGTGATCTTGGCAAAAACTTTTCAAAAACTTTCCCAACATGACCTTGAGAAGTATCAAAGTGTTGCTAAAACTCAGATTTTCTGCTTTAGTCTCATCTTGTCGGGGGTTCTTGACTACACAGTGACTTATAATCTTCTGGTTTCAACTCTTGCCTCGCCCCCAGAATGCATCACACCAGCCGTCCTGCAGTTCGACACTTCTGTCAGAGTTTGAATTGATTTGAATTTCACACCGCCTCGGGCCTCAACATTCAGATATTAAACACATATCTCAGATACTCAGATATCTCTCCCTGTCAAAACAGCCCGGGTCGGCAACACTTGCTTGTAAATCAGAGACATTGTAATCTACTGTGACTGGAAATGGTGAAAGCTCTCTCTCTGTCTGTCTCGCACACAGACACTCTTACACTTCTTTAATCTCCTCAGAAGCCCCAGCTGACTTAAGCCCACAGAGCGCTCCTTTGTGTTGGGAGAACTTCAAACGCAGTTAAACATCACAGAGGGGTTGTGGAGAGGGCCCTAACCTCTGACTACAGGCCGCTACACAACACATTGTCTGCGAAATGATAAAAAAGCCTTAATCATACTTAACTGCCCTCCCTGGCTTGCCACTTGTTGAAAGACACAATGGTGGACCTTGACAAGTGAAGAAGTAATGGAGTGAAAGAAAAGATGAAGAAGAGGAGCAGAAAGTGTTTACTCTGCCTCTGCAGCAGTGAGAGCGTTTAGAAATGTCTTCTTTGATTTCAGGGACTAGCTTGATGTCATCTATTAAAAAGGACATTGCTGTTTAGATGATGACAGCAATTCATTAAGTTCTTTTTAATCCACAATTAGGGTGTTATCCCATTAAGTCTTGTGTATGTTTGCATTCGAGAGGCATTTGATATTAAAGCATCAAACAATCCTGAGTCAGTGCACTGCATGCTGATGAGCCAGTTAAGATATAATTAAACTGTTAATTATATAATTCGGTACTCCAGGTATTAGCATCAATGTTCTACCTTATCCACCTCCCTGCATACAAACTATGGTAATAAACACTCAAAGGAAATCAAGCCAGGAAATCAAGCCAATTTAAATGTCTCAAGGAACATTTTTGTTGTCTTAAATTGACGCTGCCACTGTTTAATAATAACAGGTGATAGACTGGTTAAAAGACACTGGTCAGCATGAACACTCAGCTAACAATGATTAGGCCAGTCGGGACCCCATGAGTTGGGCCAAGTGGTTCGGTCACAATGGCAGGTTGTGTTCAGACACAATAAACAGAATGCGTGTCAAGTTGGGCTTAGGTAATTTTCTCTCTGGCTTGGTTGGGCTCATACCGAACATTGCGGCTGCACTCTAATTAGAATCATACATTTTTAAATATTTTGATTTCTCTGTGGAGAAAAACTCTAGTTATAAAGTTCTGAATTACTTTTTTTCAAGAACGTTCACTCTGTTTAATTAGAATTCATCACTGATGAGTCACTGTTGTACAGATGGGGACCCACTCAAGTGTGTTTTATCATGTTATGACAACTGAAAATGCATGCCAGTCTTCTTACTTCTATGGATGACTAAAGGGCTGCATGTGTACTGATAAGAGTTGTAATTCATCCAGTTACAAATGCAGCCACTGATAATCATTAGGAAACGTATTTGTACAAACAGGCTCTTTGTTGTGCCACCAAAGAACAAAGACTCGGCTTGTATCTCCTTGATGAGTGGCTCGTGGACGTTGTGAACGAGATTGGTTAAATTCTGTTCAAAGTGGAATAATGACAGCTGCATGTGGGTTAGACGAGCTTCAAAAGCACAAAGGGATGAGCTGCTGTGATGTGAGATTTAGTCTCACATGGCCAAAGAGCTTTTTACAAACTCTGGCAATAGTGCTTCTAAAACCAAAACATGAAAATGGAAAAGTAGGCAGCAAATATGTGTGGAAAACAAAAGAGGCCAG